TATATATATATATATATATATATATATATATATATATAGAGAGAGAGAGAGAGAGAGAGAGAGAGGTTGTACATCATTTTATATCGAGACTGTACAGAACATTTATTCTATTCGATTACATAATGAGAAGCTTTCACATTTTCTCTCTCTAGATATTCTCCAGAATTATGTTTTCCATTTGTTCCAAATAACTGATGAATTCATCGATTAACAAGATATTACTCAAATTTATAAGTAATAGGTTTTTAAATTTTATTAGTAATAGGTTTTTATCTACCGGTTAACTCATTTTCTATCCATATTAAATATGGACGGAACGTATGCTTTATCTGTTTTTACATTATCCATTTTCAATTACCCATATCTGATCCAACCCTTCCGTTTGCCACCCTTTTAGGACCAAGATTTGGAAGAAGAGAAATTGAATCAATACAAACTTATGCAAGTGGAGACAAGCTTTATGAAATGGAGAAAGATATATATATATATATATNAATCAGAATATTTTACTACCCACTCAGAAGAAAATGACCACAGTTAATACTAGTATTTGGGAGAATATTCTACTGCCCACAGTTAAACTCGCCAAATTTACGTACTTACATCTAGAGCTGTCCTTTAGTGACTTCGTGTTATGTTTCTGTTAGAAAGAATAGTGAGGAAAACGTGACTGGTATATTTTACATCAATTAATTAAGATGATTGGTATTTTTAGTAGTTGCTCTTTGTATTTTTATTATGTAATAACGCTTTGGTATATAGACCCTCCACTGATTTTAGAATACTTATTTAAATAAGTATATACATTGGATCAATTAAGTGACCAACATCGTTTCAACTGTGATGACCCAAAATCTAACACGTCGTGATGACGCCTATCGTGATACTAGGCAAGCCGACCTTTCCAAAACACTTTCAAAATTTAACAGAAATGAATTAAGACATTTAAAATAACCGGAGTTTTTCATGAAAAAGGGGGGAAACCCAAATAAAACATAAGCGCGAAAAAAATAGCCCGACATCGGG